CCTTTACTTGAGTTGGGGATGCCATGTATCAGTGTTGGTGCTGTTCATTATGAATCTATACATTAAAGTACTTTGGTATCTTCATCATAAAGAAATGCATAGGAAAAAAATTCTCATTGTTTAGCATGCACAAATGTAAAAGACTGACAGAAATACAACATCAAATATTCTGGGAGATTTACAGGATAGTGAAATAGAGAAATATGAGGCTTTACAATGTAATCTTTTAGCTGTTTACCAGTCTGAGGCAGTTTACTAAGCAATTTCCAGAGGACTCAGTTATGAATTTTACAATGACATTACCCAGACACATCACTTGAGAAGCTGAAATTTCTACTGTTGAAATCAGGGCTCCAGAAAGGGTAACTAAGGAGTGGAGTGTTGCCAGTTTGCACTATTTTACTGTTTACCTTGAACCAGTGGGCGTTTTGGATCTCCACGCACACCTCCCACTCAAGGTCAGCCAAGCCAAGGATGCAGTTTTGAAACTAAAGGTCTCCTTCAACTCACTTTCCTTTTTAGTCTCCTAATTCCAAAGGATAAACTCCTCAGCTTTTGAGGCTGAGGACACCATCTGGCCCCAGGCAGGCAGACCCTCAGCCCGCTCTGCAGGGAACCTTTGCAGAAAATGAGGCAGCTCATCCTTGAGGACGGTCCTTGGAGCATCCCAGAGGTGCCTGCTGCCTTGTGTGCAGAATAGGGTTGCTTTGCCACAAGTGCATGTTAATACAGTATGTTATACTAATTTTTCATTTCAAGATACCCTTTTCAGACGATAGCTTTAGACATAGCTGCATCTTATTTAAGTCCTAAAAAGGGGAAAGTTGTACGTTTAGTGCTTTTACATGATCTCCCTGTGAAGCTGTGCTGCAGAGCAGGTAATGGAGCCATAACATAATTGATAGGTACAGCTTGCTGGGCAATTGTGCTCTCAGCATGACTCTCAGTTGTATGAAGCTGTAAAAGGAAATTGTGCTTCCTTGCTAAGAAGGACACAATATGCCTGTCCCTATTAATATCAGGTGACTGTTAGTTCTTGTTTGCTTCTGTTATATTGAACTTTTAGCAACCAACACATTTGTTTAAGGGGAGACATTACATTAAAAGAGCAAGAGGCAGCCAGGGTTCTTACAGAGAATAGGTTGGGAGTCTTCTTTTCCTTGAGGAATGTGGTTTGCCTGCAGGGATGAAGAAGCCTGCGTCTGCTTGTGCAGACACTTCTGTGCTGAATGGAAAAGCAGCAACCTCCTGAAGTGATGTGACAGGACTACTCTATATTTAACCTTTCTTAAAGATAATTGAAATGAAAAATAAGAGGAGCTGAGAGATCCTCCATTTCACAGTCAAGCAAGTCACTTTGGTTGTGGGGTTTTTTTTAACTCATCTTAAAAGGGATTTGTAAATGGTGTTGAACAAAGATTTTGCTCATGTAAATAATAAAATTGGAATTCATCAGAGGAATTCTAAGGGGCAGGCTTGCAACATCTGGCATACTTCTTAGGCCTTTTCTTTCCTTTTTTAATAAAAAGAGATGGGGAAATATATTATTAATGAACCTGAGTATCATTGATTGAAGCCTGGAACTACACTAGTTGTTTTGGGGACTTCAGAAATATACCTGTCACAACAGAGCAGTTAAGACTAATGGAATTTAATAATATATACTAAATAAATCAGGAGAAGTTAAGTACAGGAAGAACACTGCAGAGGATGGGTATATACATTTTCAGTGCTTTGCTGGTGTGCAGGCCCACTCTACCCAGTTGCAGCGATGTGCTGCTGGGCGTGAGAATGACCAGGTGTCTTTATCATACAGGATCCAATCTTGATTGCACTCAGAGAAAATAAGCCTCTGCTCAAGCCTAGAAAAATATGATTGTGTTCCTTTTTGAATCCTTCACAATAGGTATTTGTGTATAAATAAGGCCACACGATGTATAATGAGAGCATAATATGTTATACTTTGCAAGAGCATTTGCATGTGGATGTTGTTAATTTGAAAAGGTTCACTCTGGAGAGCTAAGTAATATTTAATATGATGTTATTGATAGGTACCTAAAAATATGCAGAACATACTTGAACAAATGGAGCATTGATTTCCTTTTTTTTCCTCTAAATAGCTTAAGGTTATTGATTTTGTAGCCAGTAGGATTTTTTTATGCCATGTGAGTGCTGCTTAGCTTCCATAAAAGAGTCTCAGTACAGTCCATAGAAACAAATGGTTGGAATTTGAAGTATTATAAACCATGTTTTAAAAAAAATGCAGATTTGAATAAGAGCCAGAACAATTTTTCTAAAAATTTCCTGCTTGTTGCCTGGTGAAGCAACTGCAGCTGGGTGTAGACCAGGCTGGTTACATTGTGCAGGAAATCTGAAATTTGAGCTGTCCTGTGTTTTTTGGGGGAGGGCACAGTGTCCATTTGAGAAATGAGATGTTCCTCTGTAGCTCTTTGTGAAAGAGTGACCTCCCATCTCGGTTGTCCTCTTGGGACAGCTGAGGTTGCATGTGCCTCTTCTCTCAGAGCTGTTGGAACTGAATTTACAGTTCACGTGTTCAGGGACATGACCTTACCAGGAAAAGGACAGGCTGTGACACGTTGGTGGGTTGGTTATGCAATCCGACCCCTCCTTTTACTTCAGAAAAGACAATATGTGTTGAATATTTCCATCTAGACAACTAATAGCTGCCTGCTTTTGATTTTTCTCTCTTCCGAGGAACCCTGAGGCTTAGCATCCTCTGCAAAACCCGGGCAAGATACCTCTGCTCTCTCCCCTCTCTGAATCTTGTAGTCTTTTTGTCTCCATCTTAAGACAACTTGCTGCTGCTGTCATCACTTCTTTCTGTCTTTATTGCTTCCCCTTTTCTTTGCTCTTCTCCACGCCTTTCTGTCTTTAGATTAGATTATTGCTGGTCTGCATCAAACAGCAGGAAGATAACGTGTTCAGTAATTTAGGTGCAACCTATTCTTGCCAGCAATTCCACTTGAAAAATGCAGTTTTTATGGCTACCAGCCATGGCATTCACCAAAAGCTCTATATTCAAATAAATATTGTCAAAGCTTATTGCCCTCATTTTTCAATGGTATTTCCGGGAATGCCTTTTTCAAATGTAGGGTTTATTTCTGTATCAAGACAAAAAACAGCAAAGAAGAGCTCAGAGAAGCATTCAGGATACTGAATTCAGGATACTTCCCTTGCACACCCATGTCCAAACTGGGCTATGCATTAATCAGGAAACAAGGAGCGTCTGCCTTCTTAATTGGATTGTTTTAAATTTTTATGCTGTCTGTGTAATTTCAAATTATGGCAGTGATCCTGCAACCTTGAGGTCAATGAGATTACTGATATGCATAGTTATTCATAAGACAAGCCTTTGCAGACTGTATTTAGTGGTCTGGGGAATCATGCAGAATAAAGATAAAGCTGTATGGGATTTTTCTCTTGTGTTTTTCTAGAATTTATATTTTTAAACACTTTTGCTGGCTATTTAATACTTATGAGGGGCCCTGATCTTTTATTATACATATTGAATTATTCATCTGACTCAAAAGATGAAGAGAAGCTAAATTTTTTGCATTCTGAAGGGTGTCTTCAGTTTTCTGTCTTCTAATATTTTATATTTTAAAAGAAAATATATAATTTGTGACACAGAAAATCATCAGACCAGCATTTAAATACTTAAATAAGGCTATATCTTCAAGCTCCAAAAACAAAGCATAAGCTAGTGCTTAAGAATTGTTCTCCTGAATTGGGGAAACAAGGTAAAAACATAATTAATGTGGTTAGATCAGGCAAATTCCAAGCTGCATTTATCCTATGGACTTCTCAATCCAAAAAGGTTTTATTTTGTTCTTTATCTCTCAACATTTGTAGTTCTTAAGTCTGTTCTGTAGCATAAATGTCTATTCTACGATTTTGACCATGGGAAAGTGTAAGCAACTTTCCTTTTTTTCTTCCAGTTTAGGCCTGTTCTCCTGATGCTGTGTATTGATGTAAAATATGCAGTTAATGTTTTTTAACACTGTGAAAATGTAGTGTAATCGCAGACCTCCTCAAGCTCCCTTTGCCTCCTTTCCTCTTCTTGTATCCTGCCTATTAAACTGAAGATGTTGGTCGTTAACTCCCAGGAGGAGGTGTACAAGAGGGTTAAGTTGAGCTGATGAGGTTACTGTGGTTTATCTTCTCATCTCTAAATTGCAGGTACCTATGCTGCATTTTGGCTTTGTCCAGACCCTGGTCACAGCTGGGTTTACCCTTTCATTTTCCTCGGAGTTGTGTGTACTTAAAATTGATACCTAATTCCTGTCTTGAAGCAGGAATTTTCATATTGACCTTTTTTTTAAAAAAAAAATCTTCCTGAAGGGCAGGACAAGGATAAGGTATTGCGTAACAACGAAATAACCTCAAATCCAGACGGTGGCGCAGGGTGAGGGGAAGAAGATCTGCACGAGTTACAGCAAATATAGAGATGGAAATGCCACGCATAAGTGTCAGTTCATCCAAGGGAAGCCTTTTGAAATAAGTTTGAATGTTGCAAAATCCTTTGGACATGACTACACTTACTGTATAGGTGAAGGCGATCCAAGGCTGCCTCATGGCAGTTAGTGTTAGGCGCTGCCTGCTCTGATGTGACTTCCCAGATGGGAAACATATGTTGGGAAGAAGAAATGCTCATCTTAGATTCAGCTGCAGAAGGTTCTTCATCTGAAAACAGCAAGAAGCAAAACTATTGACATAGTGAAAAAAATGGTCCTAAACTAAAATGTTTGTAGTACGCACATAGCTTAATGTTATATTGTATTTACCGTTCATCCTAAAGAGATCTCATATGCTTTTACAAAGTTTTGGTAACTACTTGTAAGCTTCTTGGTTTTCTGCTAACCTTGTAAAAGCTCTGAACTTGCGTAGAGAGTTTTATTTGAAAACGTTCAGATGAAAGACAGATATGTGTGCCTGTGTGGAACCTTCTGATGAGATTCACCCGTTTTTCTTCCCACCAGGTTTGGAGGAGACCAGCCGGTGTACATCAATATTATTAGAGATCCTGTCAATCGATTTTTATCCAATTATTTTTTTCGACGTTTTGGAGACTGGAGAGGAGAACAGAATCACATGATCCGTACCCCCAGCATGAGGCAGGAGGAAAGATACCTGGTATGTTTAAGCAAAATGCTCTGATTACCAGTTTCCCAGCATCATTATGTAGTGCTGATGTTCATACTGGATGCTTGAGAAGTGGGAGACCGTGGCATCTTTTGTCTTGCGTTTTTTCCTCTGTCTTTGTCTTGCCTGGTCCTTAGTTTGGTCAACTTCAGTATGTAGAATGTTGCTGATTAATTCAGTGATACAGTTTGATCTTGTATAAGCTGACAGCAAGTCCCAATTGCCACCGTTGAGTTACAGTCTTTTCCCTAAATTGGGTTTGCACCGTATAGTGGTTAGGCATAATAATTCTGCCTATATTTATCACTGTGAATATTCAGACAGATTTTTAGGTTGAAACTATGTCTGTAACTGTGCAGCCTAAGAGGAAAATTGTGAAATGGGGCAATGCAGTGAGCCCAAGCCTTTAATGTTCTTGCTGGTAAGTTGTGCGTAGTGTTCTTTATACCAGGGCTCTGATCTCAGTTCTTGGTTTGGTTTTGTTGCCTGTTTTGGATTAAGAAGGTGGCAATAATGCTGGATAAGCTGTTCATAATAAGTTTTAATTTTGCACAACTGCTGAACTGTCATAACGCCTGTCAGCCTTTGTCACGGGCCAAGGTCCCATGGCAGTAGATGTTCTGCAAATGCGAGAGAAACACAGAAGCTAGGGAGGTGGTTGGTTGCTTTGATACTGATCTCTTTGTGTGTACACCAACACCTGCCTAAGACAAAAAGGCAGAATTAATTCTTATCCTCTCTGTAATGGAGATGCGGTTTGATTGGACTCAGCCTTCAGCCCCATTTGAACCTGTAGATGGTTCAACAGTACAGAGGTGACAGGGCAGCTTGATGGTCTATGTGATGTTGCAGGCCAGACGTAGCATCAAAACAAGGGAGGGCTGTGGCTTCTGGAGAACAAAGAGAGAGGATGTTTTGATAGTGTTTTGGAGAAGCAGTAGAGTACAAGATATGGTGTGGATGAGCCATAAAGAACACAGCTCTGAAAGACTGCCACACAACACGTTTCAGTCCTAGCTGAGGTCAGATGAATCCCAGGAGGGCTGGGGTTTTTTCCGTATGACAGGGCTGTGTTGATTTCTTTTGTACTTTAATACTGTTGTTTGTCATGCAAAGCCCTGTAAGCAGATAAGCTTATAAATTATGAATAATTGAAGGATGAGGGAGGTATCAGTATAACTGTGTATAGCCTTAAACTTCAGTGATATCTGCTATAGAGAGAGAAACTCATTGCAATAATGTTGCATAGAGTTTCTTATTTGCTGTATGTCTAGAGATACCGAAGAGGTCCCTGCGTCAGCTGAGCAGGTTTTGACTGCCTGGTGTGCAGAGCTGGAAGGCAATCTCAGCAGCTTTTCATGCTGTGTGCTTTGTCGTGGACTTTTGTTTCCTCGTGTGAATGGGACAGGGCGGTTGCAGAAATGAATGCGGGGTGGGTTTTTTACTACATTTTGTTAGCACTGTCGTGTCTTCTTTTTTGAGAATGTTAAAAATGAGCAGTACAGTTTGTACTCCACTCTGAGTGCCTCTGCTTCTCATTTGAAGTGGAACATGCAGTGAGTGGCACCTCTCACAGCTGACTGACTCTGTAAAAGCTGGTATTAATTCAGTACCGCTTCTGCAGTTTCATCTGTGGTATGTACAGCCATCGAAACTTTACTTCAAGCAGAACTGAAATTAGTAGATCTAATTCCTGTTGTGTTGGTTTAAAAGGTGATAGAAATAAATTACCTTGCATTTTCTTTTGCATTGGGATGTTCTTTAAGAAATTAGTTACTTATATGCACACGCATGTGTACACATACACAGATCAGTTCCAAAGCTGTAATGGAAAGGAAATAAGAATTGTCCGTCTGAGATCAGTAATCATTTTGTTCAAGAGGCAGTTTGTTGGTCTGAGGCACTGTCACCACCCTCAATAAAAACTATTTTTGCTTTTTCGTTTTGATCTTCTCTGTTGGTAATGCAGTGCTAGAATCCTGGAAACATTTCTGTAATCTGTCCTCCATCACTCCTTGGCAGACTTTGGCTGTCACTTGCACCGCTCAAAGAGGGCAGTTGCTCCTGTCATAGTAACGTATAGGCCACCTACCAGTGAAATTCATTTTAACAAAAGCCACTCATTCCGCATGTTAAGCATTTTTAAGACTTGTGCTATCCAACCACATAATATATTGCATGACTGCATTTTAATATTTTCCTCAGTGGTGCAAGGAAATCTGCTGACATATATTTTAAAACTCAGGTAATGGATTTTGTGGAATGGTAGCTTCGGAAGTCTGCTAAATCAATTGCCTGATCTAGCTGTGAAGGAAGTAAGCAGCTGGTTTTACCTCTGAGCATGAGCCAACGTGGCCCTTTAGCACAGGACCAGTGGCTGGCCTGATTGCTGGCCTCATACCTTTTGCAACTCTTCCCTAATGTATTTTTTCTTTTTTTTTTTTTTCTTTTAATTGAAAACTCACCATAAAGCATTGGTTTTTTACAGGGGACTATTTGAAGGGTAAGCTTACATTTAGCGTATGAAATAGTTTCTATATTGATCACATTATCAAGCCCAAGTCATTTGGGATGAGGTATGCCTGACTCTGAGCAGATAGGTGAAAGCAGGGGAAGGATGCGAGCAGCTTTTCCTTTTCTTCTTCCATCATGGCTCAGATCATCAGACAGGAAAATACAAAACTGCTGATTGTTCCGCAACTCAGTCATTGAACTCATTCATTGCTGAAAGAGCCTGTGTTGACAGCGGTTATAGACTTACAAAATGGACTGGAAAAGCTGCAAATGTAACTCCTCTCTTTTACCAGGAGTGACAGGTTTGCCTGCAGAAAGATATGCCTCTTTGGAAACAGGGGTATTAGGGGCTAATTGTGCTTTTCTCAACCCTGATATTCCTGGTTTCCCATCTCTTGGAAGGTGGTGTGGGCAACTGGGAACCTTTCCGGGTCATCCTGGTGTCTTGGTCACTAGCTGCCAACACTGGCCTTCTCCCTTGAAAAGCTGAGGGCAGCGTGCATTTTCGCTCAGGAACTGCAGCGTGAAAATGTGGGAGCTCAGCACCTCTATAAAGCGGGCTTTTAAAGGAGGAAAAGCATTTTGAGATTGGGTTTTGTGTCTGATGAACTCTTGCTTGGCCATCAGGTTGCGATATCCTTATGGAGGCATTCCCTCCCTCAGTTCTGTTCCTTAAGAAAAAAAAGGGGTTAAAAAAAAAAAAAAAAACCACAAACCTCAAAGTCTTGTAGTACATTGGGCGCTGCTTTTTAACGTGGAAAATCTGAACTGCTGACATGGCAAAGATCAGAAACGGAAACAGAAATTTCCACCATTCACTGATCATTTGAAATCTTCTGAATAGAGCTTCAGGCTTTGACCCTGTTCCAGAGAAAACAACCGTTCATTCAAGAGTCAGATAAATTGTTTTAAATGTTTCAGTAAATGTCTGTGTTTACCAAAATTTAATTGAAAGCGAGGACAGAAAACAAGGTCTTTATTCACAAGTCAGATAGGGCAGAGGCAGCTGCTGCAATGTGAGACTTTCCACCCAGATCAGCCAGCTCCTTGCCCTGACCCAGCACTTCTCTGCTGGAGTGAGTTACTGTCGGTCACCTAAAGAGATCACTTCCAAGCTTGCCCAAAATAAATAGTGGCAATGCGTTAACATGGAATATGGCAGAGAGGTAATGGTCTGAAACAGTGGCGAGTGCCTCAGGTCAAGTCTCAAGCACACTCATGCAAGAGTTGCCCTTCCTTATGGTCCTGTAAGATGAGATAAATTCACAAAAGTTAATTTAAAACCATTGTAATGGATGTGATCTGGTTGAACTGGAGTTCTTAGAGTAAATATGCTTTAATAAAGCAAGTAACCCTTTAGCAATGCAGCTGTGAGTGCTGCTAGTACCAAGCAACAGAAAAATATGCACCAGATGATTTAGTTCAAGGCTTGAAAGTGCGGAAGGTAGGACGCACTCCTGATAAAGAGAGAGACTACCATAAATATTTAAAAGCTTTGTGTTAAAATTGTCCTTTCCAGAAGGTTTGTTAGTAATTATCTAGTATTTACTACAACTGCAGTGTGAGACATCAAATATAAAAGGTATGTGTGGGTTTTTCATCTTTCCTTAATGTTTGCTAAAACTTTGATCTAAGACAGCTAAGGCTGAATGAGTGTGTGAAGCAGTGTGGGCTTGCTGAATTGTTGCTGGAATTGCAGGAAATCTGGTTATTAGCCATTCTGGTCTCCTTTAGGCTCAGGAATACCATGGCTCCTAACTCAAGTACAAGATCTAAACATCTTTGAGCTAATTTGTCAGAGGACAGAGGTTTTGTATAAAAAAGGTTGTTCAAATTAAGAACTTGTCACCTCCCTATAGGATGTTTCAGATTTTCGTGATAATTAGCAGTTAAGTTTGCAATGCATCTCAGTCAGGCTCAGCATAGTCTTTCAACTTCATCTCTGAAAATAAATATGCTTTTCTCAGCTAAAAATAAAAATATTCTAACAATATTCAGCCTCATTTATGCTAAAGATTACTCATGTAAGTAATCCGATAAAGGAGCATCTGTCTTTTTGTCTTTTAAATTAAATGTTAAAATATTTGTAAAAAAAGTGTGTTAGGATTACTGCAAAGGAGAGCAGTAAAATTCAAAGGATGTCACGGAACTGTCAAGTCAAATTTCTTACAATAGGGATCTCTCCTGTGGCAAAGATTGGCTTTGTTTTGGTTATTTCATAAAGTTCAAACAAATTATAAAAAAAGCTGAGTGGTTAAACTGCACAGAACAAGTCTGGTGTTCCTGGATTTTGAGAATTTCTTTTTATTACTACATTGTTTTTTCATTAACATAAGAAATTAACATTTGCTAAATAAGTTTAACTAATTTTATTTTTATTATTTATATTCCAAACTTCTATTGACAATGAAAAACATTCTTTTACCAATTGCATTGGTTTTCTAAGAGTAGCTAGCTGTCTCCGTTCCTGTCTTACC